CCCCATGGACACCATTCCAACCCCTGGCACTCCTTGTTGTCCCCATGGAGACGATTCCCAGCAATCCGTGGGATCCCCTTTTTCCTGGTGCCTCCCAAGGCTGAGAGCTCTCAGGGCGCGTCATTCCCGAGGGTCCCATCCATCCAAATCCCAGCAGGGATCCAGGGATGACCTGGCCCTGTCCATGTGACCTCCTGGGCGGTCATTCCTTGGATCCTGGCGAGGTCTGGATGTGTTCCACCTTCCCCTCTGGTTTTCCCCAGGTACGAGCACAATAAAACCGGGAGCATCCTGATCAACAGCCTCTGCTTATCCAACGGAGGTGAGGATCGCCCGGAAAGGCGGGATAGGGATCCGTGGGGATTGGGATCCCTGGGATGGGGTGGCCTTCCCATCTCCCTCGCCTGAATCCCAAGGGAAGGGCAATTAAGGTGCCGTGATTAGGAATCCAGTCCTGGCTCCCTGTCCCACATTCCACGGCCCCACAAGGACGGGGAGGGACCGGGAAATGGGAAGCAAAGCACTTATGGATTTACAGCTCTGTTTTCCCGCCTCCTTCCAGGGATTTTTCCGGAAACAAACCACCCCAGGTTCATCCAGAAGGTGAGCTGCTCCCTTCTCTGTCCGGCCTGACTCCTGATATCCCAAATAAACACCCCTTGGAGCGCTGGTGTCCCACCTGGAGACCTCGTGGGTGTCCCCGGGGTCGGGGATTTGCGGGAAAAGCTCTCCATGGAGACAGGATTGATCCGTGTGTCCCATCTCCTGTTTTCCTTGCTCCCCAGCTCCTCCAGAATGGGGGTTTGCTGTCCCCCCTCCTCCTGCGCCTGATGAACTTCTTCTTCTTCTCCAGAGGGTGAGCTGGGAACCGTCCACGGGGATGGGAGCCGAGCAGGGAAGCGGGAATTCGAAGGAATTCCTGGCTGAGAGGGTGGGGAGGGGCTGGGATGGATTTCCCAGAGAAGCTGTGGCTGCCCCTGGATCCCTGGAAGTGTCCAAGGCCAGGTTGGAGCAACCTGGGATAGTGGGAGGTGTCCCTGCCCATGAACTGGATGATCCTTAAGGTCTTTTCCAAGCCAAACCATTCCATGATTCCATGAATTAGCAGGTGAGGGGATTCCCTGGCTCCATCCCAGGAGAGATTTTCCTCTGGATTTGAACCTTGACCTTCCAGGCCATTCCCTCTTCGGGGGAGAGGGCCAATAATAAACCACCACATGGCTTTTCCCTGCTTTCCTTCTCTCCCACAAGAACCGGAATTCCACATTCCAGAGGCAACAAAACCCCACCCACGCCCTGCCTTTGGCTCACAATCAGATTTAGGGATTTTTCCCCCAAAAAGCCCTCTCCAAACTCCCTTTTTTTTCCAGTCTTGGAGCAGTTTTTGGGCCCCACACGCAACCCTCGCAGGCGGAATTCTGGGATATGTGGACGGCGGTGCGGAATAACGACGGGAATCTCGTCATGGACAGGTAGGTCACCGGGAATTCCTGCAGGGGATCAGTTGGACACCTGCTCTGAGATTCCCAGAGCTCATCCAGGGGCTCTCCAGAGCCTCCAGCTGCTTCTGTTGGAGCCTGGGATCATCTTCATCCCCCAAAAAAAAGAGCTGGGGTGTGATGTGGGAGCAGGATTTCCCACTGGGATGATGCAGGGCAGGGAAATAAAGTTTGGAATTGGATCTGAGCCTGCAGCGATCCCATGTGGGAATTTTTTCGTCTTTGGAAGTCAAGGGCTTGGATTTGGGGGGTTGTTCAAGGACTGGAGATAAATCTGTGGCAGGTGAACAGATCCCTTGGAATTGTCCCAGGAGAGCTTTGCCTCTGGATTTGAATGACCTCGATCTTCTGGGCCATTCCCAGAAGTCCCAGTGCCAAATCTCCGGTTTGGGAGTTTGGGAAGGTCCTGTTTGCTCCAGTTTGGGAGTTTTGGAAGGACCCGTTTGCTCCAGTTTGGGAAGGTCCTTTTTGCTCCAGTTTGGGAGTTTGGGAAGGTCCTGTTTGCTCCAGTTCGGGGAGTTTGGGAAGGTCCTGTTTGCTCCAGTTTGGGGAGTTTGGGAAGGTCCTGTTTGCTCCAGTTTGGGAGTTTGGGAAGGTCCTGTTTGCTCCAGTTTGAGAGTTTTGGAAGGACCTGTTTGCTCCAGTTTGGGGAATTTTGGAAGGTCCTGTTTGCTCCAATTTGGAAGTTTAGGAAGGTCCTGTTTGCTCCAGTTTGGAAGTTTGGGAAGGTCCTGTTTGCTCCAGTTTGGGAAGGACCCATTTGCTCCAGTTTGAGAGTTTGGGAAGGTCCTGTTTGCTCCAGTTTGGGGAGTTTGGGAAGATCCTGTTTGCTCC